ATTAAGCCCCCCCCCGCCCCCCCCCCAGCAAGCATATATAAAGACGCCCTGTGTGAGCTGGGGATTCTATCTTGAATTATGGATTGGCAAGGACCTCTCAAGTTCTGTTCAATTAAAACTTCACTTCAATAAAGTTTGCCAACCAACTAGAATAAAGCTATTTTAAAAAATTAAAATGGCAATGTTCAAAGATTTTGCCTTCATTTGGAAAACGTATCACTTCGATGTGGAGAATTTTTTTAAACTGATAAAAGATAAAATATCACAGGTCAAATCAATCAAAACTTCCTACTGTATCTGGTAAAGCAGACTGAATGGTGTCATTTTCTCTTCTGTGCTGGTAAGTTGAAACCATAATTGGGAAAATGTGTATTGATAAATGCAGTCCTGAAAAGTGCAAAGCACTACGGCATGAGCCAGCAAAGCATTTAAATAAGTACTTAAGCTTATAAATCATTTTATCGGGATTCATCACTTCTTTGAGTGCTTTCCTGGACCATATCATAATGCTCAGCACCGGGCAAAATTAAGTCTGAAATCTGTAAATACCATCTCACATGCAATGGATTTAATAAATTAGGTCATATGAAAATTAGCAAACTTATTCTCTACCTTTAATTAGTAAATAGGACAATCATATTACAAAAAAAGTCAAGTTCGCGGTTTAAAAATAGGAAAAAAACACAAAATAAAACACCTTATCAAATATATCTTCTCCTTTGGGATAAATTAATGCTAAGACTGTTGATAATGTCAACATCCTCAGTTCTTTGAGGAGAAAGAGTGAGAAACAAGAATGTATTCTTCACATCACTGACAGACCTCTTGAGAAGCCAGTGTCTTCCTCTTCTCTACTCCCTATTTTCCACACAGCCAGGGAGAAAGACTGTGAACATATCACTTTAGACGTATCAAACATCTGTACTTCCTTGGCCTAGATAACTCACTACTGAAGTTGGCAAAATAACTAATTCTTCTGCCTTTAAGCATATTGAGGGATTTCACAAAAATCAACAGGACTATTCACAGAGGAAAACTACGTTGCACTTAGGTGGACCACAGAATGGAATTCTTTCATAAAGCCTGATCTCAAAAAAGCACTGCATTCTCTTTAAAATAAGTGCAACCTCAATTTAGATCATTTCTAAAATACAAAACACCTTCAACACAACAGAACTCCATCCTTATCCCACACCCATGATCAATGAAGGACACGAATTAAATCATGGCACAGAGAAATAAGTACCATCTACCTCATCACCACATCATTTTGGACAGCGCTACGTTTTTCTTTGGGAATCTTCTCATACAGGCTTGAGGCGGGCTAAAGTCTGATCAGGTTTACTTGCACATGCCTTGTGTTCTAAAAGCCCCTTACCTCCAGGAGCCATGGTTTTAATTTTCTGTCCAGCAAAATATCAAATCCCAGGACTTCAAAGCAGACACTGTCACTTCCTGGAGCTTGCCCTGGTCTGCACATGCGGTAAGCATGAAGTACATGTGGTTCAGCTACTATGAGAGTCTTCACCACTAGTTCCTGTGGGGAATTGTTGGAAAGTTGCATTAGGATATCAGAGCATAATACCAGCATGTTCTGATTTGAATCATAAACTACTTCTTCATATACAAGTCTTCTCCTAATGCATTAACAGTAAGAGAAATTGTACAGATCCATTGTGGGAACTATAAAAAGGTCTAAGAAATTATTCTTATTTTTTAGAGCAGTCCTACAGAATTGCATACAAATCATACTTGCTAGGAATTTATGCATACAAAACTTTTTTTCCCTATGCTACCCCCATCTTTCATTGCTTTAGCTATGGAGCTCAATATCTTTTATACTGCACACCAAATAGTTATCTCAAGTACTTAAGGAAAAGCTGACAAACATTTTATTCATTGTTTTTAATATCTCCTCTGAAATGTGGTTCTTCATCACATTGCTTTAAAATGATGAAATGGGATGCTCACAAACTCTGAGCTTCCAGCAACACTGCTAGTGTTTTGTGGTTTGAGTTGATTTGGTTTGGGAGTCTGGAAAGGGTCTGTCTAAGAGAAAAAGAATAAATGCTTTGAACAAACATGAAGAATCATATGTTTATAAATAAATATTAAGACAGTCAAATATTGAGCTTTCCAAACTTAGTGACTTTTTAACTGATTATACCACATTTTACTCTACAAACAAGGTCCAATTTAGTCTCCCTCAGTTGTGAAACCCCAACGGAATCAAGAGTTACAAACGTGAACCTGCAGGTACAATTTAGCCCACACAATGAAAAAAAGCCACACAGTGAACGTAAAGAAATAAGAACATGTTCTTCTCTTGTCAGCACCAGTGAGGCCACATCTGGAGTACTGTGTCCAGTTTTCCCCCTATGGCAAGGATGTAGACAAATTGGAGAGAGTCCAGTGCAGGACAATGAAAATGCTTAGAGGGCTGGTCTGAGGAGAGGCTCAGGGAACTGTGCTTTTTCAGTCTGGAGAAGAGAAGACTGAGAGGGGATTTAATAGCAGCCTTCAGCTACCTGAAAGGGGGTTACAGAGGATGAAGCTGAACTTTTCTCAATGGTGGCAGATGACAGAACAAGGAGCAGGGCTGAAGAATGGCAAGTACTCCTTAGCCATGCATGCATGCACATTGTGAAGAGCACTACTGAGAATTTAGATTAATAAAACCACAAAAACATGCTGGTTTCTAAGCAAAGTCTAGGGACAACAGGCACCATTCATTCTCTAATTGTACATACATTGAAAAAAAAAAAAATCAAAAAGTACACGTTAGTTTTATCTTACTGAAATATCACTCCAGAATTTGGAAACATCAAGATGATTTGTTTCTAAAAACTCAGTAAACCATTTTATGGACCGTTTGCTGCCTTTATCTTCTGTTTCATCTCGTTCAAAGTGCTCATTATGTTTATTCACAGAGTAGTTGGTCAGATGCATATACAGTTGGCTCTGCAAACAGGGAAGAAAATGAGAGTGCCTCCTGAACAACAGACCCAGAATCACTGGTTTATTTAAAAAACAAATTTCAAAAGCTATGTATATGAAAATTAAATAAAATATGTTCATGTTATCTTAACAGTGATATACTGTAACTTATTTTTATTAAATAGATGCTTTCATATTTTGGGTTTTATATATCATTTACTGAAATAAACCTATAGTACAAACATTATTAGATGAAAATTAAAAACAACTGGCTTTTAGAAGATTTAATATACTGACTATCATGGCCCTAACCTCACAGAAAACTTAAGAGGGTTTTAAATGTAAGCCAGTGGAACTACTGAAAGACTCAGGGACCCGATAAAGTAAGATTTCTTCCACCAGTGCTTCAAAGAAAAACTGGCAAACTCCAATCAATAATGATAGGAGAATTTCAGCAGCATGTGGGGTGCCTTCAAATCCATGTTATCAGCATCTATGAAGAGGTACTTGGATTCTCTACGAGGAAACATCGAGACTGATCTTATGAAAATCACCAGGCGATCCAAGAGTTGATCAACCACAAGCGCCAGCCTTTTGTTCTTGGCAGAACAGCAATGCCAAGCAAAAGAAATCGAGTCACCAACAAGCCAAGGCAGAGGTCCAAAGGAGGACCCATGATATGAAGAACAAATGGTGGGAAGACAAGGCAAAGGAAATTCAACATCTCACTGACATCTACAATATGCACAGATTTTTCAGCACCACCAAAAGCCATCTACAGTCCAAGCATCCAGGGATCAACCCCCTTGAGAACCAAGGATGAAGGGCACCCGATCAAGGAAAGGGCATTTTGAAGACCTTTTCAATATTGTTGACTACAGTGTTCTCAACTCCATCCTGCAACACCCAGTCAGAGCCTATCTTGGAATCCCTCCAACCCCTGATGAGGTGCAGAAAGCCATCAAGCAGATGAAGAATGACAAGACCCCTAAAGCTGATAGAATCGATGCCCAAATCACCAAGCAGAGGGGCCAGGATCTCCCATCCCAGCTCCATGTCCTCATCTTAAGGATCTAGAAACATAAGGAAATTCCATATGACCTCAGGGATGCCACAATCATCACAATGTTCAAGGAAGGAAATAAGTCCAACTGTGGAAGTTACAGAGGGATCACCTTGCTGTCTGCCAAAGGAAACATCATTGTAAGAACCCTTCTGAAAAGTGCTGTGCAGGATCCTTCTGAAGTACAGATACCAACCAAAATTCATCACCATTCTTTCCCTGCTTCATAATGGCATACAAGTAGTGGTTCTCAATAATGGAGCTATCTCAGATCTCTTTCAGGTTAAGCTGGAAGTGAAAGCAAGGCTGCATCATTGCTCCAACACTCCTCTTGATATTCCTTACCACAGAGTGGAGCTAACCTACCGAATGGATGGTAAGCTGTTTAAATCTCAGCCAACTCCAAGCCAAAATCAAGACCATGCTAACATTATCACTGAGCTCCAGTACACTGATGATACTACAGAGTGTGCTCATTCGGAAGCAGATCTACAGGCAATCACTGATGTCTTTACTGAGGCATACAAGAAAGTGGGATTGATGCTTAATATTTAAAAGATTAAGGTCCTCCATTGACAAGCTTTTAATAAGCAGTCTGCAGCTCCAGCCATTCAGATTCATAGTGAGACTGTGGGGAACAGTGAGTATTTCTCATACCTCACAAGCTCTCTCTCACAGAAAGCCAACATCGACAAAGAAATTCAACATCGCCTCAAATGTGTAAGTGTAGCCCTCAGATGCCTCAGAAAACAAGTGTTCAAAGATTGTGAAATCAGATTCGAAACCAAGGTCATGGTTTATCAAGCAGTCATGATCCCAACCCTACTGTACGGAGCTGAGACACGGACCATGTACAAAAGACATCTCAAGCCGCTGGAGAAGTACCTGCGGAAGATGCTTCAAATCCAGGGGGAAGGCAGATGCACCAACATTAGCATTCTCCCACAAGCAGACACCATGAGTATCAAGGGGGTGATCATCCAATATCAACTTCACTGGGCTGGCCATGTCATCTAGATACTCCAGATTCCCAGTGCAAGTTTTATTATCCCAGCAGTCAAGGCATATTCTCAAGAGGAAGGCAAAAAAAGTGCTTCAAGGATGTACTCAAAGCCAACTTGAAAAATTCAATATTGACATCAACTGATGGAAGCAAATCACCAAGGGCCACCCCAAATAGAGGAAAAGTCTGCTGCAAGGATATCAGTACTTTGAAACTTATGATGACAACAGAAGATGAAAAAGGGAGCAACAGAAACAGCGTGATACAGACAAAAATCAAGAACCCAAGCCCACCCACCTCACACAAAGATGTGCCCAAGCTGCATCAGAGTTTCGCAATCAGGTCTCATCAGCCATCTTTGGACCCACAGATAAGACAATCATGGAAGACAATCATCCTCTACTGCAAGAGATTGCCAATGTCTTACTCAACTGGACTGCACCAGCCTATCCCTGTGGAATGTTCCCAGTGTGTTTGCTCAATATGGGCCATTGTTTTACAGTCATACTCAGCGTTGGCTGCATTTAGTCATTTTCATAGTTGGTTTCCATTACTGAGCACACGCTGCTTTTGGAGGCAGTTTAATGATAGACGATGGGCTTAATGAGGTTTTCTTCTATGCAAATATAAGACAAGGAGCTGTCTACCCCTCTGCTGACAGGGGAGAGGGGAAAAACTCACCTTATATTCGAGTAAATACGGTACTTTGTTGGACTGGACCTATACAGTTTGTCTTTACAAGTCCATACATTAAAAAAAAAAAAAATCAAAATAAAAAAGTTTGTAGAAAGCAACTAACATAACGCACCAAGTGGCTAAATTTAATATTACAGCTTCTCTCTTAAAAATATCTTTTATCCATAAACTTTCACCTCCCACCACTGCCTTTGTCAGTATTGCTCATCATTAACTATTGGCCCCCAAACATCAGTGGCAGAGAAGTTCCAAGGCACTCATACATTGACACACAGCCAAATCATTGTTTGTTCTAGTTATATATGGAAATATATAAATAGATTGAGATCAGTTATGTTTTGCAGTAGAACATGGAAGCAGACTGGGGAGTTTGGAGGGACACTAGAGTCCTATAAGATTAGCAAGGAAATAAACAGACTGAACAGAAGCAAAATCTATTAAAAAGTTGGAAACAAATTAGCAGATATTTTTAAATTAAGACTTCTAAATGCTAAGATTTCTTGTTTCCCAAGGTATCGTTTTAAACTAGCCTAGACACACATTTATATTTGTGTTCTTCAGAAACATGCATTAATCTATACTACCTGCTGGACTACTTCTACAACTTCTACTATCACTATGACAAATATCTGTTACAGCATATTATTTGCTTAAGGGCCAGTTTATAGTACTGCAACCTTTCTGCCTCCGCCCAATTAGAAAGGACCCAAATAAAACCGCCACCCCCACCCATCATTTTATTATTTTACTCCAGTTATTTATACATTTGGAAAAAAAAAATCAACAGAACTGAATAACCCAGTTTCAAGTTACTTCCCTAATTGCTGGATTATTGCAACAAATACATTTTCTGCTATGGTTTCTCATGCTATTTTAGGAATCAGATCAAGGCCATAGGCTCCAATAACATTTTCCCATAAAATACGTATCATGTTAAACAAATAGGTATTTTGCAGACCACAAAGGATTAAAAGAAAATGTTGTGAAATAATTCAACTGCTTTGCTCTGAAAATGTCTGGATTATAAAAATATTATTAGATAGAGATGAGCCAGACTACTAAAAAGCATTCTATGAAACCAATGCATAATAACATTAACAGGTTTGAGAACAGAGCAGAGCTATCTTCTAAAGTACACGCAACAAAAAACATGCCAACAAAGCTAGAAAAAAGCATACTGATGATGTAGGCAATGTCAGAAAGTATCAGAACTGGCTGTTCCTCTTCTTCCAGTGCTCTGTTACAGAGCATATTTCAGTGTTATCGGTGGTACGTTATTATGAACAATACAAGTAATATTTAAAGCAATTTATACTGAATATGCACTTTGGTAATTAACATGCAAAAGCAAAGGAGACTGTTGCATTAACTGATGAATATCACCTGAAGCAAGGGACAAATAACTTTATGCTATGTACTGTAAGGAATCATACAGTCCGTGCCTTAGCATTTGAAAACAGTAACACAAGCACTAATCTGGAGTTAAAGTATCAGATCAATGACCAGCTGACATGTAAAATACTAAAGTGCTCTCTTACCGTTCTAAATAAAATACTGAGATTCTGCTAGGACTGTGTTGGTAGCACAGGGAGAAGGTATCCTCTCTGGACAGCAGCTGATGAAAGTATGAGGCCTGGATACAGAATGGCAGCAGTGTACAGGGAAGCCCTGACTGGCTGACCCAGGCTGCTCAGGGTCAGCCCGGCTCTCCATGCAACACAATATGAGAAAGTTAAAGGGGACACATTCTGCTCCCTGCTTGGCTGGAGGAGTACAGTCCAGCGAGCAACACCCAGTCTCCCAAGAAGCATGGGGAGCAGAGGCAGGAGCAAAGAACCCTGGGATCCAAGATGGAGGATTGCACTGTGGCTTCTCTCAGAACAGAATGTGTATAGACATCCATTCTTCCAAGAGAAACTCAGAGTGATTTAATCCTGATATCAGGTTTTTTTTCCTCCTGGAATGGCTATTTTTGCTCTGGAAGAAAAAACCTCAAGTTCTGTACACTTGAGGTTTCTCCTGGGCGAGCAGCAACTCCTAAGGAGAACCAGAATGTCTGTACATGGCCAAAGTAGTAAACAGAGCTCAACATACACTGATTCCTGGGATGCCTTCAAATAACTTGTTTCTCAACAACAGTTTCTAAGATCAGTTGTCAATGTGGTCAACTTCAATTCTTCTTCTCTAGATTTGAATATTAAAAAATGCTGTCTTTCTTCCCCGTATGCTTAGAAATATTACATCCTTTAGACACAAAAATAGTTCTAAATTTAGAACAAGTATAATTTAAAACTGCTCTCATTTATAGGCTATAACAAGGCTATGTAATTGTGTTCTTGCACAGCAGAGCAATAATGAGTTAAATGTTTAAAATGCTATTTTTTCATTTTAATTATTCAGTTTTTGCCTGCCAATGCAAAAACCCTGTTTGACAAACGTTAAACTAACTGCTTTTTGCCTCTACATACCAAGTACCTGACATTTGATTAACACCATATTCACATATAAATTCATATGAATGCATCTGTTAAAAACTTATACTTACCAAATTTGAGTCACTGGGTGGATGGTATTTCTCTGTGCCCATTCTCACAAGTCCATCATGATATAAAAATATTTTTAATGGATCGCAGGAGGTTACCAGAATGTACACTCGTAAATCAAACTTGTAACCTTCCATAAGAAAGGGTTTGTCAAGGTATTCCTGGACAATCAAGTGGTCCTGAGCTTGTATTTTTTCCCCATTTCTTATCAGAGAGATTCTGGTTAAAAACACAAAAGTTAATTTAAAAAACCTAATACATTACAACTCTTTGAAGTACAGTTTAATAGCTGTTTAGTTAGTAGGCCAGTTAATGCCATTATCAGGAGAGAGACAGAAAAATGCACCACTCGCATACTGTAAAGGATAAAGAAGAAATAATATTACTTCAGTGGGATGAAGAAAATCAGTGTACCATTTTAAATGAACTTCCTGCTCCCTCCACTTCAACAAGTTGAAATAGTGGGCTTCCCCTCTACTTCTCCAAATCATTAGGCAAAGTGACCAGTCACTGGCTTTTAAAATTATTTCTTCCCTAGCATCTCTTTGAACTGGCTTCCATTCTTTCCTCAGTAGGTGATGCGTCTCAGATCCATTCTTTGATGGAGAGTTCAATGCAAAATGATTTTGACCAGACTGGTTGCAGAGTAAGGTACCACTCAGGATGAGTAAGGGTGCCAGAAGGAGGTCTGATGTTTCTACACTCTCATCTCCCCTCCTCCCACAATTTACACTTTGTTCACAGATTGGAAAATGTCCATCATTGACACATGCAGAATTTTAAATAGGTTTAATATTTAAACTATTTAACTAATATTTAAACTAAAAATGTTTTCCAACTTTCTGAATTCTCATGGCTTTGTTACTTTAATTCCAACCTGTAGTATTTTTAACTTACACTTTAAGATACAGCAGTTTAATGAGCTAGAGTTGGAAAGCCCTGTTTTCCCACACATCAGGTACCCACCTTTGTGCCATTCCTCTTAATTGTACTGTTTCATCCTTCTCCTTAGCTTCTCTATAGTGCTGTCCTTACCAAGAGGACTGGAAAAATAAAGCATGGTGGGAAAACAAATTATTGGTCTTTGAGTACTACTGTATTATGTTTTGCTGAATTTATTTATAAATTTGCTGAATTTATTTATAAATTAAAATTAAACTCCAGCCCATTAAAATCTTTTAAAATATAAAAGGATGGAATTAAAGTAAAGAAAGTAAAAGAATTCTGGGTTAAGACTAGAGCAGTGATATTTCTGCCTCCCATTCTTCCGCTAACATCCCATACCACTATTCTGGGTTCTGTATGCATAGTATTTAGCTTACTGTATTTATGTTAAAGAAATTGTGATCTTGAGATATATTTGAGCCACATCAGAAAAAGCTTTCTGTAATGATGACCAACTCAGAACTACATCAAGGCTCCCCCATTTACCATTTCCTCTTAATCTTATATCACAACTCACATTGCTTTGTAAGCCTTTATCAAATATGTGAGCCTCCGCATGCAGAAGTTACCACTCTCATAATAACCTTTTAACACACAGTTCCCAGTTCATGTTGTCAGTAGCAAGGGATACAGCAAAGACATTACAACTCAAATGCTGCCATTAATTAAAATGAATGTTTTTTCTATAAAGACTTTATATTTCTCTGTGGAACCCATACATAATATATTTAATTTTTGGTTTAACATTCAACCTACCCATGCCCCATTGCACCATTAGCTGGTTTGATTATGAAAGTTTTCTGTCTGCGTTTCTTCTTCAGCTCCTTTACATAGTTTTGAAACTGTGTATATTCTGCAGGAAAGATCCATGTTCGAGGAATAAAACTGTATTCCTGAGGCTGACACTTGATCATTCTGCAAAAAAAGGAAAACTAAGATTAAAAGCTTTTTATTGTTTTTCCAAGTGTATACTTGTTACATTCAAAAAGGGACTCTGAAGAGAAAGTTCACTGACAAAATACAATAATAGCAAAACAGCAAACCAAAGTCTAATATCAGTTTGGAATAGCACCCTACAATGTATTAATATCCATACTAAACAAACAACAAGAGGGAAGCATACTGTATTTTTGCCAACTGTAAACGATGGACTCACTTCTTCTAATCTAAGGAAATCTCAGGTAATAAAACTCCTTAACGATATTGTATTTGTCATTCGTTTGAAATATGAAAACATACAGTAGACAATGTGATCACACAGGCTTCTCCTTTTGGCAAAGAGCCTTCCTCTTTCATTTAATTCTTTAAAGTTGGTGGCAATGGTTTAGCAAGTGTATTATCTTAATGTCTGTACCTATGTGGGACATAAAGGTTAGGAAGACCCAATAAAAACCAAATTTTGAATCTCCAAGATAGACAGAGACAATATGTGGCTGGGGATGAAGAAGAGGATTTAGGCCATAAGAAATTTATTTATGAAAACAAACAAAAAATATTTATTTAAAATGTAGTTTAAATGTAGATTAAAATAATAGAAGCACCCTGAGGTAACTGGAAGTGAAGGTGCTGCAGGGCCACACAACCTAACAAGCCACACCATTTTGTATGCGCATTAAAACAACCAAGACAGCAGGGAAAGCAAGATAACTCATCTTTGGTTCCAACACATTGGAATCAAGGACCCACACTAAGATTTTACGTATCCAGAAAAAAGGAGAAAAGAAAAAAAAGAAATAACAAAATCTAATCAAAGTTAAGGAACCACGAGGAATGATCCATCCTGATGGAACAAAGCATATGACGAGTCTGCCCCACTGGCTGGAAGCAAATGCAGCACTCAGCATGTCATAGCCCCACTCTTTGAATGTTTAGAGCCATGAGGAAAACAGCAGGGACCATGACAGAGTATCTATAAGTACTGTGACAAGGCATCACCGATTCCAACTGCACCCGTGACATACTGTACTCTAAGGGTCTGCCTAGGTTTCACATTCCAATGCAGGGCAGAGAGATCTAAGCTAGCTTTAAACAAGTTAGCTGGGTATTGGTAGCACCTTCTGCCTGATCTGATAAACCTTCTAGTCTGCAAATGTAGACATATCAGGACACCACAAAACTTGCAGAGCTCACTTGAAGAAGCAGAAGTTTAAAAAATGAACGTACGCTGCCATATAGTTCAAATATTGTGCGTTGTTTGCTTGTTTCTTGTTTTTAATCATTACAACACTACACAGTTAATTTTAACAGCTATTAATAGATTAGATGCAGTTACACTCCCACTCTGCCAATGGAAAAAAATAGGGTCAGGATGACTTGGATGTCAGTGGACTTATAGTATCATTGCAGCATTTCATGCCTAATTATGAAAAGCTGAAACACTCCTCACATATCATAGGACAGTTCCGCTTCTCATTGCTTTGCTTAATAAAAGAGCTGTCAAGCACATCTGTAAGATTAGGACTGAAGCCAAGACCTTAAAATACTGGTACAATAGCTACACTGTCACCAAATCCTTCAGCTAATTATACAATAATACTATAGAAACCACAATGGCCACTGTAATTTATGTACTGCACTATATTCAACACACTCACAGCTTTAATTGTGACTAGCTAATCTACAAATTGTAACTGGTGAAAACCTTATACAGATACTCAGTGCTAAGTCAATTCAAATTGACTAATTAAGCAGAAATATTTTAATTATACTGCTAGACACTAAACATAGAAATATATTCTGGCCTTGTTGGTTTGCTAGCTTATCTAGCAAGATTTTTTGTTATTTTGTTATTTAACTCAAGAAAGGACTTTGTATTTTGTGTTACATTTTGTCCTGCCATCAAAAGGTCAGAAGATGTACAACTGAAGGTTTTATATAACAGACAAAAGAAAACATAATGCTGCATTTACCGTTGTTTAACTACATAACAGATTTAAATATTCAGCTTTACTGCCTGCATATAGTTTCAGTCATTACTATAATATTGGTGCTACTGTACGACTACAAATTCTTTAATACAAAAAATGTTTGTCCTTTGCATTAAACTGAGCAGGCTGCCAGTAATTAACAATACAAAACTGACATCTTAATTATATTTTATATGATTTGGTAACCACTTATATCTAGCGTGAAAATTTAAAACTTATTTGAGTTTTACTCTCATTATGACCCCAATCAGGAAAGCACTCAAATACATGATTAAGCACTCCTCTGAACCAAGACCACATAACTGAACCCACTTTTGTGTCATTCGTTTTCAGCACACTGTTCCAACCTCCTCTTCAATCTGTCTACAGTACTTACCAAGAGGACTGAAAAATATACCACAGTAGAAAAACAAGTTATTGTTCTCTGATTGCTGTTCTAAGTAAAGCAAGTGGTCAGACTGTGCGCACTTCATCCAAGAGTGCTTTCCTCTTCAAAATAAATGAGATGTGTTAAGGACAAAATTTAAATGGCCTATACATATTTCCTCACTAAGTCTCACTCTTAACTTGTTTCAGTAACTTTTCAGAGAGGGGAAGGGGGTGGTGTATGAGAATAGACAGGCATAATTAAGTTGATCTTGATCCACTGTAACAGAATTTTAAAATGTTTTGGTGCCTCCATGCCTTTCTCAGTTACCCAAAACATCTTGCTCTCATAACTTCTTTAAATAAGAAGTATGTTTACAGAAGTATTTGTGGACTTGAAGACCCAGGAAGTCCATTCCACTTCTGGCTCTGTTATACTGAATTATGTGTTTTTGTCTTCTTTACTGTAGTGCTATGATTAATCCTCCTTGAAAATGTTGATCACATTGGTCTTCTTTTGCTGTTTACTCTTTTCCCATCCGCTCAATTCATCCTCCCCTTCACCCTTTGCTGCCTGGTTGCTTTCTTTCTCTTAGCCTTGTACCTGCTTGCCCCTTTCCACCCCGCCACCCCCACCCCTGGTTCCCCAATGAACTTCCCTTGCCACTTTTGCTTAATGATCTAGTTTTCTGCCTGGAAATTCCTCTCTTGCTGTTGACATTGTCTTCAAGAGTGACTTCTGTTTCCTTTCTTCCTCCTTGGTAGTAACTGGCATCTCAAAAGCAACTACCTGTATTCTTCTGCCTCATTCCCACATCTTCAAACTGTTCTTTGCAATAAACATGGTTGAAGTAGCTGGAAATGAAGAACTCACGCTATACAACTACACAGCTCTCCACAGACTCTCAACAATGCTTCCCTGACCTCTCTATGGTCCAAAAACAACATTACCATATGCATTACTTGAAGTCATTTTGACTGACATGGACACCAAAACATTCCTAAATCTCAATTTATAAAATAATTATATAAAAGACTTAGAATATTTGTGCACAAACATGTATATTTTGATTCATTTTGCTTTAAGCGCATTTTTATACAAATGTATCAAATTGTTAAAAAGAAACAAATGCACACTATTAATACAGCATGCAATCTTTCACACAATTTAGAACTGTAAATCAATAGCTATCCTGTGTTCACTTATTCCACATTGCTCAATGTAAACAAAAAGTATTTGTAATAAAAGAAATTTTCACTTCTAGATGGCATTTCAACTGAGCATGTGAAAATACTATTGCACCTACTAGAAAAGGCAGTCTCTTTCACACCATTCAGATCTCAACACCTCCCAGGAGGTAAATGCTGATAGGTACTATTATATTCATTTTATAAAGGAATGAACAGAAGCTAAAGAAGTTTACTCTAAGGCGGGGTGGGCAAAGCCTGGCCCATGGGCCAGATTGGCAGACTCCATTTCCCAGCAGCCCCTGCCTGCATAACTGCGGCCAGTTTCCATGGAGACCCCAGCAGCTGAAGGGCCATGACAACATGGGGCCAGGGTTTCCATGGAGACTGACCCCAGCAGGGCTGCTCCAGGGCCCAGGCTGGGATCCTGCAGTGGGGACAGCCTGGTCCAGAGCCAGGTCAGAGCTGCAATCTGCTGCCTGCACACCGCTGCTTGGATTGCTGGGAAATGTAGTCTGGCCACCAGCTGGATCCACCATTTTGCCCACCCCTAAAGCCACTAGAAAAACTCAGAAAAGACACCAATAGGGACCTTTTCACAGAACTGCATTGAGAACTTAATTGCCTATTAATTCATAATGTCTGCAAGAACCACATCACTAAGTCCCTAAGCAATGAACCATTTTATGCTTAGTCTTAATGTATAATCACCTTTTTTCTCTGTTTACAAGAAACTTGCTTAGCATAACATGCCCCCAAATTAACATCCTACTTTTTCTATTTGTGGTTGCTTAAGCCCCAAGTCTTTACATATTATTTGGGATAAAGTTTTATTCTAAAGCTTTTCTCTTATACTTTGATTTACTTGCTTGCCTTTTCCTTTAAAGAAAGGATTCAGCAATAACACTATGCTCTGGACATTTTGTTGCTTCTATTTGCAAAATACAGTATTCAATTTCGCTTGTCCTAGTGTTAGGGTAACACTGGTACCCCACTGTCTCAACAGAACACAAAAGCTGTTATACTGCAAGTGTAATTGTCAGCAAAAGACCTGAAAAACTGGGTAAATAGAAGCTCTGCTGAAAAAAAAGCACAACTGAACGATGACAAATAAAACCAGGTATGCCTGATTCTACAAAACAGATAGGGAAACAATAGAGCAGAAGAGACCATACACAACAGAAAAGCAAGAGGCAAGAAATATATACTCTATACATCTTCATAAACATTAACAGCAATCAGAAACAAAATCCAGTTTACATACTGCAGTATTTCCAGTTGTATTTCAGGACTCCCTCTTGTTTTAGACCCTATTTTGCCCATTTCAGGCAGTCTTGAAGTACATGCTGCTTTGAAAACTGCTAATTATTAAATCAAATGCTGAGTCACAAAGCTGAGATTGCAAAAAGAGACTTGATTTATCCTTTCTATAAATCTGTTGACTTTAATGTTACAGAGAAACAACTGTTCCGAAATTATTTCTGTGTAAGAAATTGTTTCTATAGTATTAAGAGCACCTCAAAAGATTTTCACATTCATTATTTTGATACTGGGTCCTATCCTTAGAATGAAAAGCTCTTTACCTTAACCTGAAAATACCACATGCATGGTAACTAAGCTTCTGTTTTTCCTGTTATTTGGGG